GGTCTCTATGTAGTCCAGTCTGGTCTCAAATACCTGGGCTCACACAATCCTCCTGCGTTAGCCTCCAGAGTAGCTGGGAATACAGGCTCAGGTCACCATGCATGGTTTAAGGATAATACATTTTTTTTTTCTTTTTGAGACAGAGTCTCACTTTGTTGCCCAGGCTAGAGTGAGTGCCATGGCGTCAGCCTCGCTCACACAACCTCAAACTCCTGGGCTCAAGCGATCCTCCTGCCTCAGCCCCAAGTAGCTGGACTACAGCATGCACCACCATGCCCGGCCTAGTTTTTTCTTATATATTAGTTGGCAATTAATTTCTTTCTATTTATAGTAGAGACGGGGTCTCACTCTTTGCTCAGGCTGGTCTTGAATCCTGACTCGAGCAATCGCCACTCGGCCTCCCAGAGTGCTAGGATTACAGGCGTGAGCCACCGCGCCCAGCCAGGATAATACATTTTAAAATGAAATTGATACATGAACCATTTCCCTTGAGTAGTCATTTATAAAATACATTTTACAGAAAAATCTCCAAAATGTTACAAAACATACTTAAGAATCTTAAACTTTTTCAAGGAGTATTATGTTTTTCAATTTATTTTTCTCGTAAGATTATCATTAGTTACCCAAAAGCACTATATTTCTGTAACCCTATGTGCCTAAAATAATACTGGAGCACATAGTGGTGTTCACTTAACTTTGATCAGTCAATTTATAGTTCTCTTGTTATATTATTTAAAGAACACAAATAGTTAAAGCACATTGCCCAGTTAATTCCAAATATGGAGGAATTCTAATGAACTTTTGGGACTTATTTTGAAATTCACAAAGTATCACAATGAATATATTTTGTATTTAAAATTTTCTAATTGCAAGAGTAAATATGCTAATTATAGAATTTGAAAGTACAGAGAAGCAATCCCTATTCTACTACTGACAGGTAGCCACTGTTGTAATTGAGTTTTTCAAAAAATTAAAAAAAATTTTTTAAGGCTAGTCAGTGGTCTTTTATATATTTATATGTTGTATATATGTATGAATGTGTATTCATGGGGGGAAATAGGATCTATGCAGTATGAACTGTGTTGAATTTAATGTGAATACTTTTCTATGGCAGTAAAAATTCTTCATGGCAACCAGTTTTTTCACAGCAGCATTTTTTTGTTTGTTTGTTTTGAGACAGGGTCTCACTCTGTTGCCCCAGCTAGAGTGTAGTAGCATCAGTGTAGCTCACTGCAACCTCAAACTCCTGGGTCAAGCGATCCTGGCCTCAGCCTTCGCAGTAAGCTGAGACTGTAGAGGTGCACACCACGCCTGGTTAATTTTTCTATTTTTTGGAGAGATGGGTCTCACTCTTGCTCAGTTGGTCTCTAAGTCCTGGCCTGAAGCCATCTCCCACCTCAGCCTCCCAAGGTGCTAAGATAACAGGCTTGAGCCACTGCACGGCTAGTGGTTGTTATATTTTTTCTTTTTATTTCATTTTATTTTATTTTTTAAAATTTATTATTAAATGTCATTTTCCTTTTTTTTCCTACAGCATAGAAGTGGAAGAGTACTTTTTATTTTATTTTATTTTATTTTTTAATTTATTATTACATTTCCTTTTCTTTTTTTTTCCTACAGGTTGATGTATGTATATAACATATATATATACACACATACATACATACAGGTTGATATGTATATACATATATATATTATATAATATACATACATATATATATAATATATATATTTTTTTTTTTTTTGAGACAGAGTCTTGCTTTGTTGCCCAGGCTAGAGTGAGTGCCATGGCATCAGCCTACCTCACAGCAACCTCAAACTCCTGGGCTCAAGCAATCCTCCTGCCTCAGCCTCCCGAATAGCTGGGACTACAGGCATGCGCCACCATGCCCAGCTAATTTTTTCTATATATATTAGTTGGCCAATTTCTTTTTATTTATAGTAGAGACAGGGTCTCGCTCTTGCTCAGGCTGGTTTTGAACTCCTGACTCTAGCAATCCACCTGCCTCAGCCTCCAAAATGCTAGATTACAGCCTGAGCCACGCTCCTGCCAGTGTTACATTTTTTGATCTTTAACAATTCACACAAAAATAGTCAAAGGTTTTAAATGTATACTTATTACTGAGAATATCATTCATTTGTAGACATTATGAACAGATGAATAAATTAAAAATTTGTAATTCAGACAGATTTAGACAGTGATTTCCCAACTTGGTTGTGCCCTAGAACACTTAGGAAGCTTAAAATCCAGATTTCCATAGCATCACCCTCAAAGATTCTGATCAATAGGTAAAGCAAGAGGTATTTTTTTAAGCCTCTTTTAAAGTGATTCTGATTTAGAGTATGCAGTAATTTTGTAAAAGTCATAATTACTAAATCATCTGTCTGTAGGACTGTAAAAAAAAAAGCTTCCTTAAGCTATCGTTGTTCCTCTGACATATTGATAAATATATATGAAAATGTGTTTTGATATTTCGACAGATAACATTTTATTGTTACTCTTAAGCATTTATAATCTTGACTTTCTATTTTTTCATGATAAATTTATTGAGGATTTGTTCAAGAAAATTAACTCATGGTCGTAGAGTTTTTCACTGACAATCATTTTATTAAAGGTACTATTTTTGAAAATATTTTAATCACAAAGCAATATTTTGGGATATATAGAGAATTCTTACTTGGGGATTTACTGGTATTTTAGTGATAACAGCTAATATTTTAGAGGCCAGAATTTGATTACTAAAATCATTTGATTACTAAAAACCATAATGGCTTACTAAGAAAATATTTTATAATTTTGAATTTATTTTAGATTTCTCACTTGAATATTTTTCTTTTTTTCATTTTAAGTGGTGTTATAACCTATCTTTATGATATACTAGTCGCTACCATGGAAACAGTGGTCATGATGTGACAATTTCTGTGTTTTCTTAGATGCTAGCATTGATTTTGTCATATTAGTTTGATTCCTCATTTTTTCCATTTTGCTCTGTTAATCTTGTTTACAATATCAGATAATAGCTTCTATTATAATAAACTTTATGATGTAATAATTGTGTTTGATATACAGTTTTATAAATTGAGGTTTGTGTCTTGCTGTTTTATAAAACTAGACTTAACTAGAAACCTAGTTACCATATATAAATCCAGTTTAGATGGAATAATAATTGCCAGGTTGTCATATTTGGGTTGATTTGGAAATATAGATTCATAGCATAACATAGGAATGTTTTTTAATGACGGTGTGTTTCCCAACCCCTCAACTTAATTTATGGACTTTACACCATGTCAAAAAATGAACATGTGTGTTTTTCTTTTCTTTTTTTCTTGACAGTGTCTCACTCTGTTACCTGGCCTGGAGTGCAGTGGCATCAGATCCTAAATTTCTTTCTTTTTTTTTTTTGAGACAGAGTCTTTCTCTGTCACCTAGGCTAGAATGCCCTGGCATCAGTGTACTCACAGCAACCTCAGACTCCTGGGTTAAGTGATTCTCCTTCCTCAGCCTCCCAAGTAGCTGGGATTATAGGTGCACGCCACCATGCCTGGCTAATTTTTCTATTTTAGTAGAGATGGGGTCTTGCTCTTGCTCAGGCTGGTCTCAAACTCTTGAGCTCCAGCAATCCTCCCACCTTGGCTTCCCAAAGTGCTTGAATTATAGGCTTGAGCCACTCTGCCAATAAATTTTATTTAGTAAAAGTGAGTCTGGCTCAGTTGTAATAGGCATACCTTAAGGTTAATCAATATTAGGTTATTTTTGTTATGACAGTACATTGGATTTTCTTAGTAAAAAAGGAATCCATATTATCATCTTAAGAATTTTTGTATGGAGCCTTTCTTAAATTTTAATTTCATTTTTGTTATTATTTATGTCACTATTAAAATATTCTCCAGGTGGGTAGATATGTTTTGGGAGCAAGTAATATTGATTATTCCCATTATCAGACAACATTGATAAAATGTGATTTGAGGTTATATCATTGTATTAGGACTAGGAGTAGATGGTAATTATCTGTGTTTTTCATATTCTATAGTGATCTGCATTTATAGATTTTTGGAGATTCCTAAGTTAATCCCACTGTCTTATAATGCTTCGTTAAATTTGCCTCTTATATGTTATAAATATAATTGGCTAGTTTATTTTTATATGAACTTATATATTGACTTTGACCATTTCAAAAATGCTAGACTTGATAATTTTCTGGCTGTTGATCATTTATGTCCTTTTTTTTTTTTGAGACAATGTCTCTCTCTTGTCACTTGGTTAGGCTACAGTACAGTGGCATCATCATAGCTTCCTGCAACCTCAAACTCCTGGGCTCAAGTGATCCTCCTGCCTCAGCCTCCCTAGTAGCTGGGACTATTGGCACATGCCACTGCGCCCGGCTAATTTTTCTATTTTTATTAGAGATGGGATCTTGTTCTTGCTCAGGCTGGTGTCGAACTCCTGATCTCAAGTGATCCTTCTACCTCGGCCTTCCAGAGTGCTTAGGGGATCAATTATGTCTTTATCTCAAAAAGAATCATGTTATCTGAAAGGGAACAGTTAAAAAATGAATGTTGTAATTCTCTTCAGACCTGAGCTTATGGATGATTATTTTCTTTTTTATAATTCTTCTGTATTTTATACAATTAATGTGAATTATGTTTCAGTCAGAAAAACATGTGTATTTTTAATTTAAGAAATTTTCAAAAGGAACATTCTTTAGATGTCAAAAATAATAAGAGTTGGATTATAGTGATACAGAAATATGTATATGAAGTCATGCTATTAAAAAGATAATAGTACCAGGATTACATAAATTGTATTCTATGTGCTTTGAAAAAAATGGGAAGCAAATTTGGAGTGATAGAGGTAATGTTTTTAAAGTCCTTTTGTTTTCTGTAAAAGGTGTATAAATTCTTACCAACACAGTAAGATTATTCAACATGTGCCTTTTTAAAATAGCATACACAAAGCTGTCAGATACTCAGGTAACATTTATATTCTCTTCATTCATCAGGGGAAAAGAGTTTCTTTTTACAAACGAGCCCAAATCCTTGTAGCAGATACGTGGAGTGTATTAGAAGGAAAAGGAGATGGCTGCTTTAAAGATATCTCCAGCATCACCATGTTTGCTGACTATAGATTACCTCAGGTTCTTGTTCACCTTGGAGCCCTGAAATACTCTGATGAACTACTAAAGAAGCTTCTCAAAGGTTTGTAACCTTAAATGTAGAGAAAATGGCTTTTGTTGTTATGTTGTAGAATATGGATATTGTGGAAAATTGTGCTATTTGAACATTTTAATTCTAGAGTCTAATAAAATGGAACCTAAATTTATGTTACATGAAAATGTGCAACGCTGACAGTTCATCAGGTGTAGTATTTGAAGAGTGTTAATTAAGCTGAACAGCACACTACATTGTGATATAAAAGGTAGGCTAAGGGATAGGTGATATGTACTGGATTTTGAGTCAGAAGGTTCCATGGTCTACCACTGGATTATCTTGCACAAGTCACTTACTTCTCTAGGCTTATTTATTCACCATTATTGGATATGATTATTGATATCAAGAATGGGAGCCTTTCATCTTCTACAGTTGTCTTAAAAAAAAAAAAGAATGGGAGCCTTATATTAATAATATATAAGAATAGGTAAATTGAATTGAGAAGTTTGTGTGAAAAGTAGCTTTTTGTTTTTTAAACATTTCCTCATATGAGAAAAATAATTATGCTTGAGGCTAGGAGTTTGATACCAGCCTGGGCAACATAGTGAGAACCATCCCCACAAAAAAATAAAAATAAAAAAATTAGCTGGGCATGGTGGTGCGTGCTTGTAATCCTAGCTACTCCAAAGGCTGAGAAGGGAGGCTTGCTTGAGCTCAGGAGTTTGAGGTTACAGTGAGCTGTGATTGCACCATTGTACTCCAGCCTGGGCAAAAAAGTGAGACCCTAGCTCTAAAAAAAAAAGAAAAAGAATTATATGATTTTCATGTTAATTTCTCTCTTTTGGGTAAAGGATTTTTGCTTTTTTCTTTATTAAAAAGAGGTAATGGGCTGGGTGTGGTGGCTCACGCCTGTAATCTTAGCACTCTGGGAGGCTGAGGTGGGAGGATCGCTCAAGGTCAGAGTTCGAAACCAGCCTGAGCAAGAGCGAAACCCCTTCTCTACTAAAAATAGAAAGAAATTAATTGGCCAACTAAAAATATATAGAAAAAATTAGCCGGGCATGGTGGCGCATGCCTGTAGTCCCAGCTACTCGGGAGGCTGAGGCAGGAGGATTGCCTGAGCCCAGGAGTTTGAGGTTGCTGTGAGCTAGGCTGATGCCACAGCACTCTAGCCAGAGCAACAGAGTGAGACTCTCCCAAAAAAAAAAAAAAGTAATGTTTATGATTAGTTGTCTCTTGTGAAATAGATTTAAATCTCCCCAAATCAGAATAAAACAGAATATAACAGTACCATTATTCTTATGGTTGGTTCCACCAAGTTTTTGTGCTGACTTAGGCAATTCATTTTGTCTTCCATTTCCTCATTTGAAAAATAACATGCTATTTTATGTCATAATGCACCTGTCCTGGGTCATTAAGTGTTGGATACCTTTAAAAGGAATCACATTTAGCAATCAGGGCATCTTTTTCATATAGCCATATTCAACTGCTTGCTCATTCATTCATTCATTCACTTACTTACCTACCCACCCGCCTGCCCATGTATACATACACATACCTACACTACTCATTCCTTTCTCTAAGCATTCTCTTGCATGGTTTCCCTTGTCCTAATTTTCTTTCTTTTTATAAATTCAAATCCTACACATCCCACACACATTCTGTGAATCTGAAAAAGGTTCCCTCTCCTCAAGCATTTTTTTCTCAAATGCTACCTTTTTTCCGTGTAGCTTTTCCTGACTTCTGATGATTTGTTCATCTCCTTCTAAATTTTTATAACACATAATTGTCTCTGCTACTGTGATAAAAACCCCTATGAGAAGGATCAGTTAGCATAGTTGCACAGAGATGTCAAAATTTTCTTCTCCCATCCATGTCAGCTTCAGAGGCTGTTTTCCAGATATCCAGCTATGGCTGTTACTGCCTCCATTTATGCCTATCTTGTAAAAGAGTCTGTTATCCTTAGCTAGTTTGACATGGAGTAGACAATTTCCTTTGCCCCTTAGTTCATTTAATCAAAATTTGATTTTTCAAAAAGTTTCTTACTGGAAAACTAGAGGAGAAATAAAGTAAGATAATAAAAAACTATAAAAGTAAAGGAACACACACAAGCATAGTGCACTGATTTTTTAAGACTACCTTAAGTGAAAAAGAAAGACTACCTTAAGTGAAACTTAGAACCAGCTCAGCTTGACTAGATGAGGCAGGACCTTCCTTAACTGGCCCTCCAGTGATGCTTCTTCCAAACTTAAGGATGTGCTATACTTACATTCCTTTCCCTCTCCCTTACCTCTTCTGGGTATCTCCTGGATAGCCCTTGGAAGTTCTACCCAGGTTTCTGTCCCCTTTGTCTTTAATCTGTCTCTTCACCAAAGTCATATTTCGTAGCCAATTATGAAGACTGACAATGCAATTTGGCTAAATTTAGATTCTTCACTGTGAAGAATCTAGGGCCAGCTTTTAGCCCTAATACATTGGCTATATTACTTCTCTTACTCTAATGTATGTTGTCAGTCCACTCAAATGATTCAGTCTTTTTCTGTTTTTTATTTTTTTTTTTTTTTATTTTATTTTTTTTTCCCAGATGAGTAATGGTGAATAGTCTTTTTCTGTTTTAAAGTCCATGTCCCATCCCATATTGTAAATTGCTATATTAGTTTCCTAGGGCTGACATATCAAATTACTACAAACTGGTTATCTTAAAACAGTAGAAATTTATTGCCTCTTAGTTCTGGAAGTTAGAAGTCTGAAATCAAGGTGTTGGCAGGGCCATCCTCTCTAGGAAGGCCTCCCCCCCTTTTTTTTTCACAAGAAAATTCAGAAGAGATGAAGGCTCTTGGGTATAATTCTTCCTTGCCTCCTCCCAGCTTCTGGTGGCTCCCACCAATCCTTGGCATTCCTTGGCTTGTAGCTGCATCACACTAATCGTGCCCTTCTTCCTTGTGTGTCTCCTCCATCTCTTTGTGTCCTCTCCTTTCTTATAAGGACACCAGTCGTCAGATTTAAGGCTTACCTTAATTCAGTATAACCTTGTCTTTACCTGATTATATCTGCAAAGACCCTATTTCTAAATAAAGTCACATTCACAGATACCAAGAGTTAGGACTTGAATGTATCATTTTGGGGGACACAGTTCAACTCACTGCTATTCTCTATTGCTGTATAACAAATTATACTAAATTTAGTGGTTAAAACAATAAACATTTATTATCTCACAGTTTCTCTGGGTGAGGAATCTGGATGCTGCTTAACTAGGTGCCTATGGCTCAAGGTTGCAGTCAAGTTATCAGCTGAGGCAGTGGTCTTATCTTATGGCTCTGCTTGGGTGGTGGCCTCTGCCTTCGAGGTCACTTTTGTGGTTGATTTTGCAGTTTTGGCAAGTTGACAGTCAGGTTTAGAGATGAAGGGGGAAACTGAAGAGGAAGGTATGAATTTGTATGTTAGCACCTGGGGCAAAATAAGGAAATGGAGGAGTACCGTTAGTCTCCCTTCTCCCATCTGTTCTATCACCCAGTGCCTAATCCCATGGGAAAACTGCATAGAGGGGCATACGTAACACAACTTAAGATCACAGGGCCTCTTGAGTACTCTAAAGCTCTGTGTAAGGGTGCAGGTTGGTGGCCAAATATAGACTGCATATATGTTTTGTTTGGCTTGAGCAGTGCTTTAAGCAATAAGCAATTTTTAGTTTCCAGTACTTGAAAATGAGGAGATTTAACATAAAAATTAAACTTTCTGACTTCTCTTATACAAGAAATATGGAAACATGCTAACTTTAGACGGGACAGCACACATTCTGGCTCACCACAGTTTGTATATGATTGCTGCATTTGTTTATCTGCCTGATCTTTACAGGCATTTGAGTTGATGAATCCTTTTCTAGTCTTAGTGGTAAGACATAGCCAGTGGGTACCCTGTAGGATCAGGTATACCCTGGAGATGGGTACTGAATAGACTGGAGGTCTTGTATGAGTTCTCAGCTCCATATTTAGGCGAAGCTGACTAAAAGGATCCTGAATCCAAAGAATGGTCATGGTTTTCTTTGCTCAGGTTAACAACTTTGATTCCCAGGTTCTCTCTGATGCACCTAGAGTGTCCTCAAGACAATGTTCAGTACCCAAGCAAGGAGGGGAGGTGCTGTTTATTGAACCCTCCAAAATTTGCAGTAATTTTTTAATATCAAACCGAACTTTTTTTTTTTGAAACAGAGTCTCACTTTGTTGCCCAGGCTAGAGTGAGTGCTGTGGCATCAGCGTCACAGCAACCTCAAACTCCTGGGCTCAAGCGATCCTGCTGCCTCAGCCTCCCAAGTAGCTGGGACTACAGGCATGGTGCCCCATGTCCTGCTAATTTTTTTTCTATATATATAGTTGGCCAATTAATTTCTTTTTTATTTATAGTGGAGACGGGGTCTCGCTCTTGCTCAGGCTGGTTTTGAACCCCTGACCTTGAGCAATTCGCCCGCCTCAGCCTCCCAGAGTGCGAGGATTACAGGCGTGAGCCACCGCGACCGGCCTCAAACCGAATTTTAAATCCTTTCTTTTTAATAACTATTACTTGCTGTCATATTTTTAAATTTATAGTTACCACATATTCATTTATTAGGTATTTGTTGGGGAGCTGGTATGTGCAAGGTGCTATGCTAGATCCTGGAAATATTGAGACAAACAAGCCAGACATGGCCCCTGTCCTTGTGGAATTTAACTTGTAATATAAAATTAATGCCCAAGTCTAGAAATGGTTTAAATTACCAAAAGCAAAGTCTGAAGCTTATGATTTTAAAATGAGCACTATTTAAACACTGTGTTTTAGAGTACTGCTTAGCCATAAAAAAGGATGACTCAATGTCTTTTGCAACAATTTGAATGGAACTGGAGACCATTATCCTGACTGAAGTATCTCAGGAATGGAAAAATAAACACCACATGCACTCTCTATTAAATTGGAACTAACTGATGAGAACACATGTGCACAAAGGGAAGTAAAACTCAGATTGAGCTGGTGGGAGGGGTAGAAACCTAGCTAACAGGTACAATGAATACTATTTGGGAAAATGGGCACACTTATAGTCTTGACTCAAGCATTACAAAAATGATACATGTAACAAAAATATTTGTACCCCCTTAATATTTTGAAATAAAAAAAAGAATAAAAAAATACTGTGTTTTGTTCTGCAGTAAAGTTCTGAGTAGATTTTGTATCATGGACTATTAATGCTTCTTGCTCTGTTGTTTTCCCATTGCAGGAGAGATGCTCTCGTATGGGGATAAGCAAGAGGTGGAAATCAGAGGCTGCTCACTTTGGTGTGTTGAGCTTATCCGGGATTGTCTTTTGGAGCTTATTGAAAAAAAGGGTGACATACCTAATGAAGAGATCAATTCCATTCTTCTGGATTATTTCTTATGGGACTATGCCCGTGACCATAGGGAAGATATGAAAGGAATTCCATTTCATCGTACACGTTGCATATATTATTGACCCCAAGGGTAAACTGATCCAAAGAAAACTCCCTGAATGTTTATAACATATAATCATTTTTACAGTTTTGCTTTGATAGTAAGAAAAGATGATAGAAGTTACAGGAATGAAAAAAATTGATTATCCAATCTCACTTAAAAAAATTTTTCCAGACATATCACTGTGTATTCCCAAGCTTATCATTTGCTTGCTTAATTTTGACTCTATTTTTCTTTTCTGTGGACATGTAGTTGACAGAAATAGTGAATGAACTTTAATATTTTATTTAAATCTCAGATTTCTTAATTAATCATGCTTTATGTGACTAATCTTCGGTGACAATATTTAATCTATTCAATTGATATCTTCTTTCATGGTATAGTAATTTTCTATATGCCTTAATCATTTGATATAAAAGAGAGAGAAGGTAGGGTTTTTGATATATGAATGATGTTGCTCTTGTAAAAATCAACATAGACACCTTATTTTAAACTTTTTATGGGTAATAATAGTGGGTTTTGTACTTTATGATTTTCAATTTAGGATATCTGTCTAATATATATATATATGTATATATTTTAGAGTAACTATATTGGAATTGAATAAAGATTTTCAGAACTTTTCTTAACCCTAGAATGGATTATTCATTAAAATAGAATTTACAACATATAATTTTAAAAAGTTTACAATAGATTGGATTATTTATTTTCTGTTACAGAACTCTTATTACCTATCAAGCACGCATTTCCCACCTCCTAACAGAATCTTGATTTTGTTAGGTATCTACCGGGTCTGGTTGCTGTGACTGTGAATCTGGAAAAGGTGCCCTGTCCTCAAGCACTTTACTGCCATCTTCTGGAAACTTGTCATAATAACCTTACAAATGACAATGACTATGCACAACCACAAGGAGTGGTCTTGGGTCTATTCTTCCTGTGTGTGACTCAGGGGAAGGAGATTCCCATCCCCAGTAATGGAGGTTAATCTTGTACAGTATGAATGGTTTATTATTTTTTATTTTTTATTTTTTAGGAGTGGAAAGGGAGTGGGGAAATGGGACCCGGGCGGGGAGTGAGACCAATGGTTTATTATTAATGGTAATCTTATTTTCCTTGCCAGTGATTGCTTTGGCAATCAGTATATTATCTAGTTCTGGCCAGTGAGACTGGAGGGAAAGTCTGCTAGGAAGCTTCTGGAAAAGTATTCTTCACTTTTAAAAAAGAGATAAAGAAGGTTCTCCTTCCTTTGATCAATGCTCTGTCTAAACATGAAGCTATGGTAGCCATTTTGTGGAGCTAGAGCCCTGCTAAACCTACCGTGCTCGAGCCCATCCTATTCCTATCCGTGGATTTCATACCTGAGATGATAAACACATTACCTTATTATTTCCATCATCTTAAATTAATTTTCTGTAGCTTTCCTACCAGAAAGCATCATAACTAATAGTTTCCAATTTAATCTTGGGTCTCTGCTCCTGCCACTCTTCCTGCACCTCTCTCTCTCCTCCCTTCCCCTTTTCCTCTTCTCCTCCTCCCCTTTCTTTCTCTGCCTTCCTCCTTCTTGTTCCTTCTTCCCTCCTTTTTGTTTCCCTCTTCTCCTCCTATCCCCTCATCTGCTGTTTCCTCTCCTACCACCTCTTCCTCTCCCTCCTCTCCCCTTCCTCCTCCAGCCTCAGCCAGCTCTGGGCTTCCTGCTTCTCCCATGTTTACTTCCCTGCCATGTAAATAAAAGACAGGGAAGGCAGTCTAGGCTTCATGGTGCCCCATGGCATCGCCAAACCCAGCTGTCTTTCTCTTGTGCCACTGAGCATAGGTTGGACTCATGATTCAGGATGTCTGCATTCTAATTTAGGCAGCAATACTGAAGAAGTGAGTTGAAGAATAGAAAAAAAGGGTTGCCTGTAGTTGCAGATAGTTGGGAGGCGGAGGTGGGAGGATCACTTGTGAGTTCAGCCTGGGCAACATAGTATTATAAGACCTTGTATCTGAAAAGAAAAAGAAGGGTTGACAAGGCTCCCGCATATACCGCATTCCATTTTTGTTGTTATCTCGCTAACTAGAACTTAGTCACATGACCACAACTGCCAAGGAGGCTAGAAAAGTGCTATTATAATCTTACGGGACCATCATCATATGTGTGGTTCATGGTTGACTGAAACATCGTTATGTGGTACATGACTGCAACTTGTAAGTTTCCTTGCAGGTATAAAATTCACCGACTAAACAGTTGGAGGTTTGGAGAAATACATTATTGTGCCCTTCAGTTAAGTTTCTCTGTTTTCCATACACTATATTTCATTTCCTTTATGTTTTGGTTTCTCCCTTTGGGTTAAGGATATTTTAGATTTAAGTGAAAGAAACCAGACTGAAACCAGCTTAATGAAAAAGGAATTGTAAGAATCAACAAAATAAGTCCAAGCGTAGAGCTGGCCTTAGCCGTGCTCATAGGACTACTTATGGTCCATGGGATTAAAATGCACAAAGACCATACCTTGTATTTGTTTTTGCTCCATTGAAAGAGATGACTCTAATAGCTCGTGGTTCTGGGAAATAGAGTCCAAATCTTTGCCGATAGCCTAAGTAAAACTCTGGGGCTTGGCTGAGGAGTCTGCCTTGGGTCCCAGGTCCCCTGCCATGGCCAAGGAGCAAGGTGCAGGTGAATGGTTAGCCTACCAGGTGGAGCAGGGTTAGTTCTTGAAGAAAAAATGGTCTGTTAAAAGAAAGGGATAGTAGGCAGCCCAAACAGCCTTGTCTTTGACACCTTTTTATGTTCAGCATTCTTCAGCAGGTGGAATCAGTTCAGGCAAGAAACTGTTGAAGAAGAGCTAGGGAAAGGGAAGGCCACCTTCTGAGTTGGTCCAAGGAAAGTGCTAATCCAACTTCCTGTCTGGAGGTGGGGCAAACCTAGTAACTCCTTCCCTTTTTTCACCATTCTTAGGACAGAATAAGGGTCAGTTGGTATAAAATATTAATCAGTATTTGGTTGCAGGGGTGGAATGCAATTATTAAGACTCAATAACTTTGACGAAGCCTAAGTTAAAGTGAAAATAAATAGGTTTCAATAGTATTTATTTTTTAATTTTTAATTTTTTTTTAAAGACAGGGTCTCACTCTATTACCTAGGCTGGAATGCAGTGACATGATCATAGCTCATTGTAACCTCAAACTCCTGGGCTTAAATGATGCTCCTGCCTCAGCCTCCTGAGAAGCTGGGACTACAGGTGCATGCCACCATGCCTGGGTAATTTTTAAATTTTTTGTAGAGATGGGGGTCTCACTATGTTGCCCAAGGCTGGTCTTGAACTCCTGGGATCAAGCAATCCTTTCATCTTAGCCTCTCAGAAAACTGGGATTACAGGTGTGAGCAACTGCATGCAGTCCACAATGGTATTTAATGAGAAGCCTAGAAATACTCTGATAACTGAAAACAGTATTTGGAAAGCAAGTAAAAAATATAAAAGTCTATATGTTCATAATCAACCCCCCACACACACTCCAAGAAAAAAATCCTATTGTTCGATTTTGAAGATTGGCAGGGACCAATTTATTGATCTCAAAATTGATAAATAAAAAGGAAAAAATCATTTATTCTGTCATTCCAGCAGTAATTTCATTTCAGGATAACCTGATAGAGGGAAAGCTCTTCTTCATAGAACAATACTAGCTAATGAATGCAAAAAGACTATTAGAATTAAAATATTACCATTTTGTACTCTCTAATGAAATAATAGATCTGGAAAATGATATCAATGGCTGTTAAAGCCATTAGGCAAATGTTGATGAGGACCTCTTTAATGGATGGATTTGGCTGAAAAACACCTAAACTCACTAATAATCTTAACCTCACTAAAAGTAGGATATGCAGACATTACATGCCTCCTGGTGTATTGCAACAGGAAGAACACAGTCCCATCTACAAGTTATTCTTGCCAGAAGAATCGAACCTTAATCTAATCAAGAATCTAGATCTAAGTGCTAGTTTACAGGAAATGTAGGAAATAGAGGAACAAGTTAAATGAAAATACAAAGATATGATCAGCCAAATCTAGAGTGTGGGAAATTCCATAGAATAAATAAAACAGTTCCTTTAACAAATAAATGGGGAGAAAAGGTGAGGACTGGCAACAACATAGAGAAATTGGAACCCTTGTGCACTGTTGGTAGGCACGTAAAATGGTGCAGCACTATGGAAAACAGTATAGTGGTTCCTCAAAAAATTAAAAATACAATATGATCTAGCAATTTTACTTATGGTATAAATCTGTCTTGGTTAGCTTGGGCTGCTATAACAAAATACTATAGATTACATGGCTTAAATAACAGATATTTATTTCTCACAGTTCTGGAGGCTGAAAAATCCAAGAGCAAGGTACAGGCAGATTTGGTTCCTAGAGAAGGGTTTCTGGCTTGCAGACAGCCAGCTTCTCGCTGTTTGCTCACATGGCAGAAAGAGGGAGCTCTGATCTTTCTTCCTCTTCTTACCGGGACACTAACTCCATCATGGGGATCCCACCTTCATCATGACCTGATATAAACCTAATTATCTCCCAAAGACCCCAACTCCAAGTACTGTTACATTGGAGGTTAGGGTTTCAACATTTGTACAACATTCAGCCCATAACAATAGTCCCCAAAATTGAAAGAAGGATCTCAAAGAGGTAATTATACACTCATGTTCAGAGCATCATTATTCACAACAGCCAAAAGGTAGAGTGACCAAGTGACCATTGATTGATGAATGGATAAACAAAATGTGACACATAATACAATGGAATTTTAATCAATCAGCCTTAGAAAGGAAGGGAATTTTGATACATGTTATAACATGGATACACCTTCAGGACATCATACTATATGAAATATGCTAGTCACAAAAAGACAAATACTGTATGAGTCTACTTATATAAACTACTGAGAGTGGTCAAATTCATAGAGACAAAGTAGAATGGTGATTGCTAGGGGCTGGGGAAAGGGGGAAATGATGAGTTATTGTTTAATAGGTAAAGAGTTTCAGTTTTGCAAGATGAAAATTCTGGAGATTGGTTTCACAACAATATGGACATACTTAGCACTACTGAACTGTACACTTAACAATGATTAAGAATGTAAATTTTATGTGCATTTTACCTCTTTTAAAAACTTATAATTTATGAGGTAGGGACCATTTTTATCTCAGATTTCAGGTGAGAAAACTAGATACTATTTTGTATTCTTAACTTGTAACCATTTTTCTATACCAAATTTTTGTAATCATGAGTTTCAATAACTGTATACTTTTTCTTTTATAAATGTACCATTCTTAATTTATCTGTTTCCTTTCACAAAATATATATGTAAGTTCTAGGTTATTGCTATTATAAAAAACACCATAATGGGCTGGGCGTGGTGGCTGATGCCTGTAATCCTAGCACTCTGGGAGGCCAAGGCAGGAGGATTGCTCAAGGTCAGGAGTTCGAAACCAGCCTGAGCAAGAGCAAGACCCTGTCTCTAATAAAAATAGAAAGAAATTAATTGGGCAACTAAAATATACAGAAAAAATTAGCCAGGCATGGTGGCGAATGCCTGTAGTCCC